CCGGCCCCCGACAGCCTCTTGCCAGAGGGGCGTGAACCGGGGCGTCTGTGGGATTTGTCCCCAGGGTATCCCAGAGACCCAGAGGCTCTAGCCCAGGGGTCGCCAGCCAGTCCATCGGGATCGACTGGGAGATCGGGGCGCCTCGGACCGGCGATCCTCACTGGCTTGGCCAAGAGGCTGACAAGTGCTGCGCTTCAATTGCCCTTCCCCCCACCGATGTGCACCTTTTGCCTTGGAGCTTACCCCCTCTCCCCCCCGCATACACACACATGCTTGCTGGGCAGGGGAGAGGAGGGGGTGTCAATGTCAGGGTGCTCTCTTCCCACCCTGTAGTCTATCTCCACAGAAGGGTTTTGGGATGGAGGGAGTCTGTTGGAGTTTTTTGAGAGGGGTGCAGGGTCAGGGCAGGGGTAAGCCGGCCTTATCCCCACAGCACCAACACCCAGGAGCCATCTGTAGTAAGCACTGGCCAGCTGGAGCCTGCATCCTGAACCCCTGCCTCAGTCATAAACCCCCTCCCTCCTGCACCTCAAGCCCCTGCCCTAGCCCTGAGCCCCCCTACACCCAAACTCTCTTACAGAGCCTGAACCCTCTCCTGCACTCCAACCCCTCTCCAGGCTCAGCTCAGAGCCCCTCTCATACTCCAGATCCCTTAACTCAAGACCAGAGCCTGCACCCCAACCCTCTGCCCCTGCCTGATGTATTGGAGAAAGGATGAGGGAAGGAGGATGGAGTGAGCAGGGGTGAGGCCCTGGAGAGGTGCAAGGTGGGGGGGGGAAAGAATATTTGGGTGTGAGGTTGGTCCTGGATTGCATTTAAATTTAAAAAAGTGATCTTGTGCTTAAAAAGGTTGGAGACCTCTGCTCTAGCCTGAAATAAGTGTTCTCCCTTGAATTCTGCTTCCTTTGAACTGTGTGAAATAAACGCCCTTCCCTGACTTTTAGCCCTGTGCAGATACAGACTCTGCACAGGCCAAACATTGTCTCGGGAAAGCATGCCATGCATTAAGTGTGAGTGGGTAGCAATATTTGATGTAGCCCTCTAAGCTCAGGAGTGTCCTGAGTCTAGTAGAATCACAGAGCTGTGACATGGGACAAAGTGGTTACTTGAGTAGGAACAGTGGTTGTTTCAGATCAGCCAAGTTGGTGTGTTAGCAGAGCCCAGCCTAAGGTTGGATATTTGATTCAAAAATAATATTCAGTTTATTGGCAAAAGCAGTCAAATATTTTAAATCACTAAATTATCAGAACATTAAAACAAAAATTTGAAGAGCTCCAAAAGGCTTAGTCTTAGTTAAATACTTATGCCTAATTACAAAAAAAAAGTAGTTAATGAAGTTATTTTAACTCAGAGTTGCAAAACAGTGAACTGAAGTCCTTAAAAAGTGAAGGTATGGGACTACTATAAGGTGGGTGCATAACTGGCTGGATAACCGTACTCAGAGAGTAGTTAGTAATGGTTCACCATCCTGCTGGAAAGGCATAACCAATGGGGTTCTGCAGGGGTCTGTTTTGGGACTGGCTTTGTTCAATATCTTCATCAACGATTTAGATATTGGTATAGAACGTACACTTATTAAGTTTGCAGATGATACTAAGCTGGGAGGGGTTGCGACTAATCTGGAGGATAGGGTCAGAATTCAAAATGACCTGGACAAATTGGAGAAATGGTCTGAGGTAAATAGTATGAAGTTTAATAAAGACAAATGCGAAGTGCCCCACTTAGGAAGGAACAATCAGTTACACACATACAGAATGGGAAGCGACTGTCTGGGAAGGAGTACAGCAGAAAGGGATCTAGGGGTTATAGTGGACCACAAGTTGAATATGAGTCAGCAGTGCGATGCTGTTGCAAAGAAAGCAAACATGATTCTGGGATGCATTAACAGGTGTGTTGTGAGCAAGACAGGAGAAGTTATTCTTGTGCTCTACTCTGTTCTGGTTAGGCCTTAATTGGAGTACAGGCAGTCCCCGGGTTACGTACAAGATAGGGACTGTAGGTTTGTTCTTAAGTTGAATCTGTATGTAAGTCGGAACTGGCGTCCAGATTCAGACACTGCTGAAACTGACCGCCAGTTCTGACTTACATACAGAATCAACTTAAGAACCCCAGGCGTCCCCAAGTCAGCTGCTGCTGAAACTGATCAGCAGCTGATTCCAGGAAGCCCGGGGCAGAGCAACTCTGCCTGGGGCTTCCTGTAGTCAGCGCTGGTCAGTTTCAGCAGAAGCTGACTTGGGGACGCATGGGGCAGAGCAGCTGGGGTGCTGCTGGGTTACTCCAGTAGCGCTGCTCCTCGGTGCTACTGGACCAACCCAGCAGCACCCCGTCTGCTCTGCCCCAGGCGTCCTGATGCAGCCGCTGCTGAAACTGAACAGCGCAAGCCG